CTCAGTTCTGTTACTCAAAACTTCCCCTCTAATAAAACCACAAGAATACTAATGGCATATCATTGCTGCAGTTGAAAAAGAAAAAAATGAAACACATGAAACTGCTTTCAAGACAGAAAGCATGTTTCATAAGCCATTTTGCATCTGACTGTAAAGAGAAGTGAAAAAGATATAGCACAAAAAAAAAATCTCTAAAATATTAAAGAGCCTCTGCTCAGTGATACCCAAAGATGATTCCAAATAGGAATTCTATGAGCTTTTGCAAAAGAAAACATTAATATTATAGTCTCATCAGGCTAATTCCCCTACCATGTGCTTGGTTAAGTGCAAATTTTATTGCCATCTTTCTGAACATATCCAATCCATTAATGAGAAAATACAATAGCCTAGGAAGTCCACTAATCACTCTGATTAAGAATAGAAAAATAATAAAGGTGGTTATCACAAAAATACAGGATGTTTAATAGCAACATTCTGCTAAAGAGAGCATCTTTGGTAGTGAAAAAGGCAATCATATTATTTAGTGATGTACAACAAGGTGCCTAGTGTCTCATTTTTCATTCACAAAAGTTAGAATCTTCACTTCCTGCATAACATTCCCAACAATTGCTGCTTAGAAAGCTTAGATGTGTCTTACATTGGGCTAGAAACTCACACAGCTAAAGCACACAACAATTCCTTACAATGAAGCCATATATACTTTTTACTGGTTCTTACACTAATAATCCACATGTTGGGAAAGAAAAAAGTTCAGAGAAAAAGTCCTCTCATAAATTTATTCTGACTTACAGTTTTAGGAGTTCAGGTTATTGGACCACACCTATGCAGGACAAATTAGGAAAAAAAAAAGAAGAAGAAATAGAATATGTCTTCCCATTTGTGGGTAAACACAAAAATGGCTTTGTAGGCTACCCCAGAAACGCCATAACCACAACAACTGACAGATTCTGGTCAATATTGTGGTCCCCTCTGGTTACCACATGACAAGAAACATCATCTTTTATAGAAAGTTGTCAACGCAGTACACCACAGAGCAGAGCAAGGAGGAACTACACAGTAAAAAGGAGAACATATTTGTCACCATAAATGACAATAGTCAGCAGCATTAGAACTATCCAACAGATTTTAATTTTCTGACACAAAAGGAGCATTAAATCACACACAGATATTGCCAGTATCTGTCCAGGAGACAGAGCAACTGAATTTGTTCATCTATTCATTTGTTCTCAAATCTGTGATACTCCCTCCCTTTTGAAAAGCAAACAAACATCCTCTTCAGAAAAAAACAGCTAACTCTCTCCTACAACAAAAACTTATTTTCATGTACAGGTCTGAGATGTTTTTGTCTAAAAAATGTCCCTGTCACACCTACACCAGAACAGAAGCCTGAGAAACCTGGAGTAGAAGTGGCAGTGAGAATGCTGCTATTAGAAAGTGACTTCAAAGCAAGGCAAGTGAAACAATTTGAAGAATCAGCAATATAAGGACAGATGGGAAATGAGAGGCAGGAAAACACAGACTGAACTCTGAGTTTTCTGCTGCTGGGAAACTGGAAATTTTCTACCAGGCACAGAATATAGCAGCTGACTTCAAAATCTAGTCATGGGGGAATAGTACACATACTGGCAAGTACTTTTTAATGACAATTCCAAAATAAATCTAACTACATATTGCCTTAATTACATTTTTAAGATTGATTAAATAAATGTAATTGCTTTATGAGCTCTACCAATAGAAGCAGCTTAAAAGGCAAAGGAAAAAAGAAAAAAAGGCACTCCCAACAAGGATTCCCTCTCAGAGGGCTGATGGCAGCCCCCAAGAATTAAAAGGATGCCAATGGGATTGGCCATCCTAAAAAAAAAGTTGGAAAAAATAAGTCACTTGACATTCTAGAAAACCAAAGGAGGCAGAATAGGCTCTGCTATGGTTAAGTATGGGTTCTGTTTTTTCTGGATCTATCTAATCAATGTCTTTTCCAAGTGCCTCGTGAGGTGGCACAAGCAATCTTAAAGCTAGTGATTAATACTGATTTAACTTCACTTGAGCAATGCCTCACTGATTACAGCAGTCTGTCTTACATGAAAGGGGTACAAGACACACTTGGAAAGCAATGAGGAGGAAGAGGAAGGTCAGGTATAGCAATGGCCAGCAAGCTTCCTCCACAAAACCAACTCCCCACCCCCACGCTGAAGAGAACTACCAGAGAAAGTAGCACAGTCACACATCCAGTGCAGCAGTGACAGGGGACACCAGCAAAGGCTGCAGGAGGCATCATGAGCAGGCCCACACTGAAGAAAACCCAGGCTCCTGGACCATGTGCAGGAGAGGAACAACAGGGACTCTGCATGGCTGTCCACTAGAAGGAAAGGGAGCCTGATGCAGAACTAGAGCCTTTGCTTACTAAAAGGGTCCCATAAGACAAAGTACTTCACAGCCTGTTGAGCAATCACAGCCGCAGCACCTTTTTCAGCACCAAGAGCCACAGCCAAGCACGAAGCCTGCAGCAGACTGATGAGAGGCTGGGAGAACCACAAGCGAAGTGTGCATCACATCACCCAACTAAATCGAGACTGGGTGGAAAGGCAGGCATGACAACTATTTACAAACAACTGACGGGCACTCATACCAGCAGCAGCAGCAAGGGAATTGTATTCAGGGCAAGGGAGACCACAGCACGTGCCCACGCCATGTGTGCGCGGCTCTCCCCAAGTTCACCTTTCTGCCACCCAAGTTATCTACTTCCTGAGCTACTGCTACAGCAAACAAGCTTTTTTCAAATCTGAACTACAGCAGAGCTACCCAATGAGAGGTATAGAGAGAGGAATGAAATCATGAATCAGGAAGAAAGAACAGCAGGAAAAGTTCTCAGACAGTTTTTTTTCAGCTTTGGGAATCGCTTCCCAAAGGAAGTGGCGTAAGGCTAACCACTTGAGTCATTTAAAATACTCAAGACAAGACACTAAAATTCTGCACTCGCATCAGAAATTCATGCACATTCTCAGAAAAACAAGCATCCCTCCAAAGAAGTCCTTCACAAGGGTGGGCCTTACTGGGGACATGGCACAGATCAGATGCCTGAACAGAGACAGCAGAATGAGCTCCCTGGCTGCACCCACAGAGAACAACAGAGTTTTAACTGCTGACATTTCATTTTGAAATAAATATGGTTCATTTATCATGTGGCTGGCAAAGAGATACAGCACTTAGCAGCTCCAATTTTGATTATGGTAAGATTATGCATGCCTGTCAGCTTTTCACCTTTCAGCTGAGACATCTTTGAAAAGGACAAAAGTTGAAGGTGTTCACATCTTAAACTTGCCTTGTCTTGCCAATCTATTGCCAATGGCTTACTGTTTTTGCAACCCTTATAAATAGAGCCTTAGGCAAGCTTGCAAAATGCTACTTAATCACTACCCAGAGGCAAGTAATATTTTTTGTGACAGGAGAATGAATCATCGGTTTTGTCGGTTTCATCGCTGGGATGGATGTGGACAATGAATGTCTTTTCTCTTAGTCTTGCTTAATTTAGTCTAATTTACATCCTTCTAGTAGTATAATACTACTTTAAAAAGGCCCATACAAACAACCAAGAACAACAAAATCCCCTCACTGCTACCAAGCTGCCTCATTTCTCAAAACTAATTTTTCTCACACTGCTACCATCACCTACTAAATGATCTGCGTGCCAGGAGTACAAGTTATTTAAATCTTTTTCCACATACGTAGGGTCCTGCTTAATTTCAACACTTTAGCACACAAGTAGCATTAGCCGTGAGTGGTTCCACTAATGTAAATGGAGACAATCGTTACTCCTGAAAGTTTGTGTACCTTGGCATGAATAGGACTGTAGCAGCGATGGCAAATCTACCAGAAAAATCAACATTTTTCACCCAACAGCTATGTGCACATGTGCTGGCATGAATGGACTGCTGTATTCTGTCAAGGACAAATGAAGAAGCAAACATGAACGCTGATCAGCTTTTCATAAACAGTCACAAAGACTACCTAATGAGTTTAGCAGGCAGTCAGATACTTATTCCATAACATAAAGACATCTGACATGGGCCTGAACAGTGAGTCAGAATGAATTTCCCATTGCTCCATGTTCCCTTCCAACCACCAGTAACTGAAGGCAGTAAGAGGAGACAAAGCGCTGCGCTACTGCTGTAAGATTTTTCAGAAATCCCCATGTGGGACATGGCACAGAGGCCTCACATTCCCACTCCACCCCGACAGAAGTTCATATCAAGCTATAGAGGCTCAGAGCCAGTTTGGACGGATTGAGCAGCCAAACGCTGCACTGCGACCATCCCGTCATTCAAGCTGCACAGTCCCCGCTCTCAGCGTTCGCTTTCTGCAGATGTGTGCAGGTCAAAACCCGGAGTACTCAAGTTCCTGCACTGCCTCACTCTTTTCGTTCCCATTCCTGTAACTCCAGCGCCCGCTTCCCGTAGAAGGAACCTTCCCCCTCCGGCCGCCCGCCCTCGCCCTCACGCCCGGGAAGCCGCTCGAAACTTTCCCAGCCGAGTGCTGCCCCCGTCTCGGGCACCACCAGCGAGAGGCGGCGGCGGGCACAGGGCACGGCACCGGCACGGGTGCCGTCCCTCTCGGACAAGAGGGCTCGGGGCGCTGCCCGGGGTGGCCGCTACCCGCTGGTAGGGCCAGGGCCGGCCCCGAGCGGACAAAGGCCCGGCCGGCCCCGGCGACAGGGGAGGCCCGAGGCCGCCGGCCCGCCGCCACAGGAAGCCGCAGGCTGGGTCCGACACCTTCCCGCCCACAGCGCCGGGCGGGCACGGCGGGAGGCGGCGCCCCCTCCTCCGCCCGGGACCGGCGCCGAGGGACCCGCACTCGGGGCGGCGGCGGCGCCCGGCGCGGGAAGCGGCGCTTGCAGTCCCGCACCGCCCGCCGGAGCCCGCCCGAGGCGCTGAGCCCCAGGGCGGCCACGGGCACCGTTCATCCCGCTCCTGGCCGGCTGCGACCCCCGCCCGTCCTCCCGTTACCTTGGCCATGGCTCCGGGCAGCGGGCGCGCTCCGGCCCGCCCGGCTCGCTGCTGCGGCGGCGTCCTGGGCTGGGCAGGGCTGGGCTGGGCGCGGCGGGACGCCCGGGCTCGCTCCTCGCTGGCTGCCCGCCGCCGCCTGCTCCGAGCTGCTGCGGGAGCCCGGCCCGCGGGGGAGGGGAGGGCCGCGCTCCGCTTTACCCGCCCCGGAAACACATTCCTCCCCGCTCTCGTCAAGCGGGCCGGGGAGGCGTCTGCGGCGCGGCGCGGCGGGCAGGGACGAGGGAGCCGTGCCTGAGGCGGGGCTCGGTGCCCGCTTCCCTCCCGCTTCCCTCCGTGCCGCCCGCCAGCGCCTTATTTGGCGGGATTTGCCGGCGGGCCGGCCGCCCCCGGGCTGGGCCAGTGGGTGCGGACGGGGCTGGGGCTGCCCCGCGGCCCTCTCGCCCCCGGCGGTGTCGAATGGCTGCTCGACCCCAGCCCTTGTCCAGAGCTGCTCTTCTGGTTCCACGCGCGGGGACAGCGGGGAATCTGGACAGAGGGGGATTCCCTGTCCCTCTTGCTGGCAGCTGTTGCCAAGAGCAGTGGAAGTCACCAAGTGATGAGTGGGCTTGTCTGGTGCTAACACACGCTCCGAGCTAAAAGGTTGCTTTCCCCAAATCCCTCGGCCCGAGCCTGCTGGTGTTTGGAGCATGCTCTTGGTATTTCAGAGTGTCCCTTAAAATAGGTACTTGGGAAATTAGTGATTAAAAAAAAAAAGAAAAAGCGAGCCATTCGACGCCTTTTTGAAGGTCAGGTGTTGGGAAATGCAAGGTATCAACTCGCAGAGCTCTCAGCACTGTGCCTTTATGTCTGGCTACTGGAGCTTGTGCCAATTCTTGTTTTTGTATGGTTAACTTAACCAGCAGTGCTGCAACTTGTTTATAATTTTAATCACTTTCCCCCTGCTTGCTTTCTAGCTGCATTTTGGAATAAGAAAGGAATTATTCTAGTTTACTCGAGTGTGGCCTGTGATTCAACCCCGTGTTCCACTTGGGCCGTGCAGTGGTTTAGGGTGCAGTCTCATAACAGCTGTTTTAGCAGAAGCTTTTAATGCTGGTACAGCTGTAATTGCAAAACTGTTTTAGTGGTGTTGGAAAATGAGATTGAAATGATAGACTACTGCTCCAAGCAGCTCCATCAAAAGCAAGCACTGGACAAATGAAGTGGTAGCTAAATAACTTTGACATCCAAATATAAGGACAGCAGGGACTATACGTTTCAACAGGTAAATCAATATATAATATTAATACTGCCAGGAAAGAAGAAAGCCACCAGAAAGCCAAAACTTTAAAAATGCTGAAAAATTAATGCCATGCAAAGTAAAAGCAAATGCCAGAGGGGTAGTGATCTGCCAAAAATGTGTGAAATTTAAGTATTGGAAGATAAAAATTAGTTTTATCCATGGTATTCTTCTCTGCTTCTTTATTTAAGGGGGAAAAACCACATCTGGTGCTAATTATGACAAGGTTGTGGATTTTGATCCTTGTGTGGGCCATTCACTTAAAAGATGGACTTGGTGATCCTTGTGGGTTTCTTCTAACTCAGAATATTCTGTGATTTTGCCAGAATATGCAAATAGCGAGCAGCTGTCCACTGTAGTGTACTGCAAAGAAGTGGTGGCAAAAATGTGCCACTGAGATTGCTGGGGCTCTGAGGAGTAAATAAAACTGCTCAACAGACTGGTTGAAGTGCTACCCAAGGCTCTGCTCAGATCTTAATGTGTGAAGTAGCCAGTGGCTGGCTGTGCTGAGCAGTAGGAAATCAAAAGGAAAAAGTCTCACAAATGGCTGAAAAATAAAATCATGGAATTATTTGGCTGCTTTCTGGACTCCTTTGGAGAGCACAGATGGGTATGAAAATCATGAGTTATTTTCCAACACTTGGGAAGTACTAAAGATGTTAGGAAAAAAAAAGTGCTGAAGGTGTCTGAGCCAGTAGACACAATTGTAGGTGATGTCAAAATGTTTAATGTAGTGTCTCTATACTGCAGTGTACATAACATCTGGGAGAGTGAGTGAACAGTTTTGCACAGGAAGGCTCAAGAAAAGCTGGGCTTTCATGGATTAAGAGGGAACCTGGGAAGTGTTTTGTTCACTGTTAACTTATCTTGCAGATACAGATTTTATTATAACTTTTACAGAAACACGAATCCCAAAGCAGGTTTTGCTGTGTCCAGTGGTGCCTTTGTAAAGAAGCCAGCTGTGTAAATCAGGGGTGCCCAGCTGCTGCTCCAGGGCTGGGCCTGAGTATCCCCGTGCCAGGCAGCTCTACTGCAATCCCTCCTAGTGCCTGGCTGGGAGCCTCTGGAGTCAGGGGTCACTTGGGTGCCTCCAGAGAAGCAGGAACTGGTTGGCAGGAGAAGCTGCAGCATCTCCTAAGCAGTTATGAGGGTATTTTCTTGGCTGCAGTTTCCTGTTTGCCACGTGTTCATGCCAAGCTGCTGAACTCTGACTTCCCAAAGCCACAAAACCAGGGAGCTGTCACCCTGTTCTCCAGCATCTTCTCCACTACTGCAGCTCGCAAAGTGTTTAGAGGGAGATATTTTTCAACTGAGGCCTCAGTGATAACAAACACAGGATGTGTTTTAATGTGCATGGTTTGCACATTAATACCTAAATGCAAATGCCTCCCATCATGGCACCCATTAGGCAACTTCATAACCTCACCAGCCACTAAAACTTCCACCTTTACTTCATACTGTACCAGTTATCTCTCTCACCTCTGCCCCAGGCAGTGATAATTTATCTGTACTGCTCCACTTTCCCAACAAACTTTGTTACTGACAGCAGAGTACTTTCCCTTTCCACCCCTCTTCTTTTCCTTCCCTCTTCAAAATGCTCTTCAAAATGCTCCTACCCTACTTAAGGTATTTTTTTCTTTCCAAACTAAAGAAAATCAAATTATAAACTCGAGGTAAAAAATCATGGTCTGATCACAAAAGATAGATAAAGGGTGGGGGAGAAAAGAGGAAGTCAAAGTCATTTTCCCAAGGATGGGAATGAAGCCAGGAAAAGAAAGCAGGTCTTCTGGGAACACATCAGACTGCAGCCAATGAAGCCAGGAAAAGAAAGCAGGTTTCCTGGGAACACATCAGACTGCAGCCACCTGGGCTGAGCTGGCTGCAGGAGCACCCACTTTTCCTGGCCTGACCTTGGAGCAGAGAGCAGCAGCAGCTGCAGCCGCTGTTTTATTCCAGCAGCAGCTGTGCAGTCACCAAGGGGCACGGCGAGCACTGAGACCTCACTGGCAGCTGGTCAGCTCTGGGCTCTGGCTTCCAGAGTGGAGGATGGAGGAGATGTTGGGGCTTGGACAGAAGATTCACAGAGAAAGTATTAATAGAAGGGTCACTTAGTACAGGAAGTGATGGTGCTAAATGGTTGTGGTCATTGCTTTTGATAACAGGCTCTATTTGGCTGCTCATGAGGAGTGAGCAGCACTTCTCTGGAGGCAGCCTGTCAGACATGTATAGTGTGCCCATGATATAGAATGCTGTGTTTACACTGGAGCCAGGTTCCCTTCCTCAAACAAGCAGTGATGTGAGTCACAAATGTTCAACCAGGAGATTGCTAGATTGCATCCTGTGGGCAAAGGTTTGCCCTGCAAGATTGTCTGCCTGCTGTTCACGGGAGCAATGTTCAGCACTTAGGAGCAATAAAGCTGATATATTCACACCTGGTTTATGATGAATGCTTGGATCTCTGCTTTCTTCACTCGACAGTCTGTGTTTAACATGAGCCTGACAAGGTCAGAGTCCACCAAGCCCTTCCTTCAGCTCGCCAGCATTTAAAAAGCAACTTGTGGCTGTCAGGCAAGAAGAAAGGAGAGGTCACCAGAGCACATGGCCCTTCTGGTGGCACTGTGCCCTTGCTGGCACAGAGCAGGCTGTTGGAGTAGAGGGGCTGGGGGACAGCTTTGTTCCAGCTGCACTGTGCTTTCTGATGCTTCCTCTGACTCGTTTTCTGCACTTTCTTCAGCTGAAGAGCTGCTCTCCCCTCTGTGCATATGTTTGGGTAGGCTGAGCTGTTGCTGTTACAATCCCTGCTGCCATTAGCATACACATTCCTTCTTGTTTGTCATATGGACTTACATCTTTCAAAGCACTTTTGTGGAACTCCTATGTCATTGTGAAGAGAGTTTGTTTTATGCAGAAAATCTATGAGACATTTTGATCCTCAATAAGCAAGGCAGGAATCCTTTTTCATGGCTAGGCATGAACTACAGGTTGCCCCCTGTGTTCCAAAGTAAAGAAGTGAGCAGGAGTTAAGTGAAGAGACTAAAGCCTTTGAGATTTATGTTCAAGCACTCATACTCATGGTAACACAGGGCAGAGAACTTCTGCAGCTCCTTATGTTGCTTGAAATGAATCATGTTTTCTAGAGAACTAGATTTAAAAACTTCAGGCTTGAAGATATTTTAGTGTTTAATTACCCAAGAAAAAAATGCCTTTGGGAGATTAAAAATATCCCCAAAGGATGATAATTCTGAATGCACAGTAAGTTTCTGAGATTCAGCAGTTAGTTAATTCTTACCATGTGCTGCTTTTTTTTTATGAGACTCTGAGATCACATGCCTACATATTCTATTCCATCCTTCTCAGGGGATTCCCACTGTTTAGACAAGCAGCTCATGCTCATTCAGGGGAAAAATGAATTCCACTGCCCCCAAAGAAATGAGCAAGGATGATTGCAAGAGCTTTCCTTGAAGAATTATTCTGCTTAGGTCTTGCTCAGAGGGACATCCTGCAACATTTTAAGCTCAATGCAGTAGTTATTAGTGCATAAAATTACTTAAATTTAGACTTGTGCAGTCTAGAGGAGAGGAGAGGAAGGATAGAAGTAAGAGGAGAGGAAGGATAGAAGTAAGAAAGGAGGAATTTTGGTATCAGCTGTAGAAAAAGTCTGCTAGTACTGAGAGTCTGTCATGAGAGTGGGAGTACGGACAGATTTAATGTTCATCGATATATAGGGGAAAGAGGAGCTATGTGGAAAACAGAATATTTCAAGCAAGACTAGTAGGCAAGAAAAAAAGGCAAAAATAGTCTGAAGGAAATAAATAGTAATGGTACCACTGGGAAAAGAGATGTGGGCAAATGGAATGACT